GTCATGCCGTGACTGGTGGACGCTTAGTGACTGTGCAGTGTGCAACACGATCAGTCACTAGTGTTAGATCCTCAATGGGTTTAGTCAACGTGGAGAATCGGGCGATCAATGTCTGGAAATCCACTGGGATATCAGGCATTAGACCCGTTATTCGGTGAACGTCTGTTCGGGCTTTGAGACCCGTGAGTTTGATGTTCGACACTGGGTTGATCAACTGCAGTCTACGTGAATCGACAAGCAATTCATAGTACTGCAAGAAAACGATACCCAGTATTCAAGTGGGAACATTCGCANCCGTGAGTTGTCTTGTTCCTGGTCCATAGCTACGATGGAACCAGCAGTAACCCTCTGTGGGGTCATCCGTGGCTTTGGGTGGTTTGCGTGAGGGTGGCTTCTGGGCCTTTGGTTGTTTTTGGCGAACGTGGACAGGCTGTGCTGCCCGTTCCAACACATGCAACTATCTTATCGGCAATCGACGCCGCTTTGTCGAATAATGAGTCCTCCAGGTGGCCGTTACCGTCGGTTGGACGTGGCATCTACTCGAGCCACAGCTCTCTGACGATGTCAAAGTGGAAGTTTGCTGGGCCGGCTAGCGAGCGTAGACGCGCCAGATGCCTGCTTGACGTCGTGTCTCCGAGCAGGTGACGAGCCAGCAACTGGCGCAACATCTCCTCGTTAGAGGGGGTATGGAACTGAAGGATTGCAGCCTTCAGAACGTCGTACGCGTCCTTCTCCGGCGGTTTAAGGATAATATCCCTGATGGCGGACATTCGGTCGCCAGGGATTGTCTCTACCGCGTTAACATATTTGGAGCGCTGGCTCCTCACGTTACGGGAGATAGACTGCGTTTCTGATGCAGCTAACCACACCTCAGAGNCAATAGAGCTTGAGTTCCCTATCGTCTACTGGGGAACGGTCCTCGGATATCGTACAAATACGATAAACAATTATACCGTGCAAATGATAATGAACCGTGAGGAAAAATGGCAAACCAATTTGGATTTGACTCACAAATTAGACGTTGCGGGCTCACCAGTGAAGCCAACCGGTGTTGACACCCTGCCGGTAAGTCCTCTTACGAGTCTTAAAGTGCGCGCAACCTCCTAGTGTCTCGTTGCCCGAGATAGACAAAAACACTCGTGGGAGTCGTAAACGTTTATTGACGAATCGTGGTACTAGACAGTACCGAAACGTGCCGAGGTGACGCTAAATAATGCAACCAATAAATGCAGTAGCAAAACAAAAGTGTGTCACACGTGTTGCGTGGGTTTGGACAGAGCCCAGCTTATAAATACACCTGAGCGGAAAACCGTGCTCAGTCAAACAAGCAGAAGTAAAACAAAGAAATATTACAGTTGGAGTCAGAGTTGATTGTGAATAAATTATGAACGGAAAA